TCAGCTCTTCAGCTCAAGGCAAGCGCTCTACCACTTGAGCTACAGCACCACTTCCGGTTTTCTGGTGGTTTATTGGAGATAGGAGTCTCACGGTCTCTCTTGCCTGGGCTGGCTTTGAACCGTGATCCTCAGATCTCAGCCTCCTGAGTAGCTAGGATTACAGGTGTGAGCCACCAGCGCCCAGCTTCAACACATCATTTCTTAAATAAAAATACTTCCACTAATTATCTAACCACATACTTACTCTGCATGTTGAGTCTTCTGTAAGGAAGGTGAATTGGTTTTGATAGATTCGCAGTGAACAGGAAAGGGAAGAGTGGGAGTGCAATGTCTTATTTCTCTTATGGTAGTGAGCAGGCGGTGGTGGGAAGGAATGAGATAATATTTGATCAGCATTAATTCATTCAGTGCTAGCAACCTTGTGAGGTGAGTATACTTACTTTTCAAAATGGGAGCTAAGCCTCAAAGAGGAAAGTTGCTCAGAGTCCATGTCCAGGAGGATTTAAAATGTCTACAAAGCAAAGGCCTTTTCCTACTTTACCTGCAAAGGGAAGAGCCATAGCAAATAGTGTTTAACCTGGAAACTGCTACTGCTATAGCATTGTAAATATACTTTAAAAACAGCTTTCTGGACCTTGCTTCTTACCCACATCCCTCACTAATAAATTAGCTGTATGAACAGAGCCAGGATCTGTGTTCTGTTTTGCTCACACATCTATGTCAAGAATTTAGAACAGGACCTGGCACAGACCTATAGGAAATCTAAAGTTATTGTTGAACACATTAAATAATCCAACAACCACTTATTGGGTTCTCCTGTTCTATTTAGGCACGACTGGGCCGGTCATCTTTGGTGAAAGACATGACAAGATCTCTGTTCTCAGAAAGCTTCCATTCTTGAGTCTGAAGCAGTGGTTTGGTGATGAAGTCATTTTAGATAGCTATGTTTTAAAAGAAATAAGGTTTTTTTTTGACATAGTGTAAGAACACATCTTTAATGAAATATCACTGATCATGAAGAAAGAGTCTGTATGTGAAATTATGAGTAAAGTTTTGTAAAACAAGCAAATGAGACACAAAAGGGCTCAATATGATAGGAGAACCAAGGAGGTCAGAGCTGAAGTGGGGGAGAAGTAGACATAAATTGTTTCTTATGGCAGTATATTAAGCATGGTAAGGATTTGCATTTATTCCCAGTGTAAGGAGAAAATATTGATGGACTTTAAAGAGGGAATTCTTTTTTCTAAAAATAAAAACCCCACATAGTCACAATACATTAATCATAGGGGGGCAATAGCGAGAACAAGACCTTTTAAGACCTAATAGTGCAGATGACAGATCATAACTAGAGAGGGAAATATTAGATTAATGACCAAATTGAACAATTAAAGAACAAATGGGATCTGCCGATAGATGAGAGGTAGTAGGGTGAATGGAAAAGGTAAGGATAGCCCCTAGATTTTTGGCTTGAACAACTGGGCCAATGGGAATACTACTTGCTGAAAATGGGAAGAGTTCAAAGAAACAAAATTGGCTGGGAATAAGAATTGAGGTGTCTATTAAAATACCTATGTGGAGAAGCCAAATAAGAAAGTGCATATACGTGCAATTAAAAAAAATCACAGGAGCTGACAGTTCTAAGATTGGATCTCAATTCTGTGTAGTAGTTAAAACTACAGGAACAGATGAGATTTTGAAGGAATAGTACAAAGAAAAGGAAGACAGAAACTGAGCCCTTTCATATTTCCACATTTAGCTGTAGAGGACAAAGAACTGACATAAGCAAAGGAAGAGGTAGTCTAAATGTAGGAGGAACTAAGCACCATGAAAACCAGGCTGAATGACTGAAGAACAGTATAGTGAACAACCAAAAGAAAACATGAAAACATTTACCAGACACAGACTTTGGCAGCAAGGTCTCAGTGTCCTTGTCAAGACTTCTTAGAAGAAACGGGAATGGAAGCCAAAATAGAGCAGAAAGAGTGAATGGGAAAAAAAGCTAGACAGAGGTGGCTCATGCTTGTAACCCTAGCTGCTGGGGAAGCTGAGAATGTGGATTGTGGCTCAAGACCAACCAGTGCAGAAAAACTGCTGAGACCTCTTCTCAACAACACTCAGGAGCAGTAGTGTATATATGTCAGGCCAAGAACCAGGAGCTGAAGTCTGTGAGATTTATTCTCGATGGAGGGAAGCTGGACACAATGGCACAGTGGCAAAGACCTGTGATTTCAATGATGACAGAAGCTGCTGGATCATATCTCAGGCACATGCCCCCTGGGAACAAAAACCCTATCTCAAAATTAATCGGTGAGAAACAGGACTAGAGGTGTGACTCAGTGGTCTTTTGCCAGCCTAGCAAGTATGAGGCCCTGAGTTCAAGCCTGCACTACTGCCAAAGAAAAGAGTGAATAGAAGAAAGTAGGAATAAATGTGCAACTAATTAGAGGTGGTTTTTTTTTCCCTTTTAGTTTTGCTGTGAATGAAGAGTGAGAAGTGGGTAGTTGCTGAGATATGAAAGTAAAGGCTTATTTTACAATATAGAGAACTGAAGAGATAGAATATGTTTATGCACATCAATGCTTGAATCAAAGAAGGAAAAATGATTGCATTAGGAGAAACAGGTTAATTGGAGAAAGGAAACCCTGGAGATGTGAAGGGCTAGACTCCAGGACAGAGGACGCATGTCTGGAAGAGGTTTGTCTCTGTGAAGAACATTTCTGTGGGAATACACATGTGCCTTAGGTACACACATTGGTATTTACAGAGCACACATTGGTATTTACACTGCTACATCATGCAGTTCTAGCCAGCAGTTGGGGGATTGGGCTGAATTGGAAAGGGAACTATTTCTGGAGATGAATATTTGGAAGTATTCCAAAATAATTAGCCATACTGACTCAGGTCTTTCCTGTGGGCCAGCCCAGCCCAAATGAATATTTAATATTAGTATCCACCATAAATTAAGTCCCTCCTTATTTACTTTTAGTTGCTGCTAAGTTAAAGCATCTTTTTATACTTTAATAATATGATAAAAAGGCTGATTTTGGTATATGCTTGTTGCCACAGAAAGAAATATCACCTGAGTTATTGCTTAGTTAAAACTTGATTTTTTTTTTATAAAAAGGGACTAATGAAAAGGAATCATCATGAACCACACTTACTTGTGTAATTAAATTGGAAGCATTTAATTCTGGAGACCCAATTGTATGTCTTATAGTCATCTTTACAAAAACCAAATCCTTCAAAGGTACTCATTTGAGACACTGGCTATAGCATTTCCTTTCCATGTGCCTAAGGATAAAGCAAGAAGTCCTGTAGCTGTTATTCTATTTTCTTTTCCTTCTCTTTCTCTCACTACTCCAACACCCCCTCCTCTTCTTCAGGGTTTCAGCATGTAGTCTGCGGAAAATTACTGCCTTTATTCTCAACAAAGTCTCCCTCAAATGAGTTCCTTGGAATAAAGGATGGAACATACTCGCCTTTCGGAAGTCCAAGGCGTTGGCTGCTTTTGTGGGCAGGACGATCTGATCCCACTGAAAGAAGCACCTCAAAGTTGTGTTTAGTCATTCGGGTGCCTGTAATGTACAAACAGGCAGGAAAATGGAAAAAAAGAACAATTCCATTCTATTGAATAAGTTGCTGTCCCATCAAATGTTAAATGTTTCCTACAGTTATGAGTGCAAACATTCCAATTTATAAGAAAAGATTTTTCCCAACGGGATATGCTGACCTTTCCAAGTTGAGCTGTTCAGAAATGAGGGAAAATGCAATTCATTCAGATGCCAAGCGCTTTTGACATTTGCTGCAGGAGAAAAAGAAAACCCGTGATTCACACTTGTCATTAGCCCTCCCCAACCAGTTGGGTCTGACAGGTTTTTTTCTTGTGAGGGTTTTATTTTAAAAGATTGCGGTAGCTTGCCACTTCCATTTTGGGTCAGCAAGTACTTTTTACAAAATCCCAACTTCAGCTGGCACAATGTGCCCAAGGAGGCAGTAACCTAGGAAACTTGGTTCATAGCAAACTATCTGTGGCCATTTTAATAGGGTCTCAACAAAATCCCACTGAAAAAAGGCAATTACAAAATCCATGTATCTGTTACCACTGATATTCCCTTACACACGATGACTATAAGGATTCTAATAATTCTGAGTAACTTAAAAAAATTCAGAGGTTTACACACTATTCAGAATAAGAGTTTTGTTGTAAGTTAGAAATAGGTCAGTAGCATTCAATGTTGTTGAAGTTGGTTTTTTGTTTTTTTGTTTTTTTCCCGGTGGTGGTGGTATGGAGTTTGAACTCAGGGCTTCACATTTGCTAGGCAGGAACTCCAGCATCTGAATTATTCCTGAGTTCCCTTTTTATTTACTTTTCAGACAGAGTCTCCTTTCTCATTTTCTCTTTCTTGAGGATCTTGATACAGATTTTATAAACTATTGTCACAGATCGTGGCCTTGGCTACCCTTGAACTATTATTTGCTTGATCTCCATCTTAAAAAGTAAATCCCTCTCAAAAGTGTTTTAAACATCAAATACCCAATATATAAGACACATTACCCAAGCAAAGTTTTTGGAATAGTCCCAAGCTTGAAACCCTGACACTTGCCCTTCCCCTTGGCCTTGCAGTGATTTTTGTAAATCACCTTTGAAAATGGTTTGCAAACATTTTTTTTTGGGGGGGATTGCCAGTTCTGATATCTCACACACAGAAACTGGATTAACTGGAATAGTTCTCTGATGGTGCTAAATACTGAGATCTCTCCGGCATGCTATAAATGAATGCTGAATGAAATTGTCTACTAACATTTTCTTTCCCAAAGACTGTCAGCTAGTGTCCTGTTGGTTCAACTGGAGAGAAAACTCCCTATCTCCTGAGGCCATGGAAACGTCAGGGCCTATGGTAAAATAAACTGTGCAGCCAGCATCCTGACTCCCGCTCTCTGCTCTGAATATTAAAGGTAGGCATTGTAACTTAAGAACCTGCATCCCTTCCTTGTAGTCAAAATAGATCTGTGTTTGAAATGGTTTGCCAGTTTCTCTTTCTACAATAAACAATAGGTGCTGGCATTTTAAACTGACCTTTACTTCTTAGGAACCAACACATTATTTCTGCCTTGTTGGTTGCATGGAGAAAAACTAAAAGAGGAAAGTATCTTACTAATTTTCTCTACTGAAATTTTTCATTACTGAAAGCAGTACATAAAAGAGTTCTGACATGATCATGCATCTCCTAGCACTTTTGTGTACTTAACTGAAATATGGCAAGTCAAATATATCTATATCCTTAGGCACATTTTTCTTTACTTAGCACTATAATAAAATGCAGTCCAATGAAGCCAAGAGGCAGTAGTTATCTTATAATAAATCAAAACTGGCCTAAGTCAACCTAACACTATTCTAAATATATCCTTTGAATTTTCTATGACTTTCTCCGTTATACAGTCTTACAAGCTAATCCTAAAGACATATGTTAATGAGGTGACTGGATAAGCTTAGTTTTGTATTAGATCTTTAAGTATAATACTTGGCTATAAATGCATGAAACTGTGCCACTGCCCTCAATTATGAACAAATCAAACAAGCTAATTGGCCTATATTTGCAAGTGTTTAAATACAAACTGCATTTCACTTTGCCCCGATTATAATATTCATCCAAAGAAACAAGGAGCATATAATTATATAGCATTTACATTCAGCGATTTTCAGAAAAAATAAAAATATAAAATTCCTTCTGATTAACATTTTAGAAAACAGGTGTTATCTACAATAATGTATAACACTATTTTCAATAGTAAATAGAGAACAGCTAGAAGATCAAAGATGCAATAGAAACCATAGATTACATGGACTGCTGATTAACCAGCAATAGAACCTGCTTGTCAACTTGCTATTTTTATTTTCCCTTTCTCTTGCTCAAGCAAAACTAGATTTGCTAAGTATTGTCTTCCTTCCTTGTGAAATAAGTATATCTATCCTACAAGATTGTCAGAAGTCATTGCTACAAACACTATTAAACACATGAGATTCCTACTGCTGTGACAGAATACCTCATACAAACCTTTGTCATGGTTTCGGTCCATGGTCTCTTGGTCTCCTGGGCCTGTAGTGGGGCAATACACTATAGTGGGAGAACGAGGTGGAGAAAACCTCATTATAGGATGGCAGGGAAGTGAGAGGAAGGGGTTGGGGTTGGGGGTCCCAATATCCCCTTTAAAGGCACACATCCAATGCTCTACCTTCAATTCATTGGCCCTACCTCCTAAAGGGTTCATTTCTTCCCACGCACTACAGACTAGCAACTAAGCCTTAGCACAGGGCCTTTTATGGGACATTTAAGATTCAAATCATTAAGCACATAATATTCATTTTCTTACTAAATTTGCAGTTCTAGTGAAGGATGCACTAAAGATGACAAGATCAGCCCCATTTTTCTTTTGCAAGGAAGGGATTATCAGTACTACTCTATGGAGAGAAACAAGAAAAGTGGCTAGAACCTCATAAAGAAAAGCATGTACAGGGTCTCACAACTGAATAGTTACAAGCAGTACCAATAAAACACAAACTCAAGCAAGCTGCTTAATGTTGCACCACTTCTGCAGCAGTAGAGAACTCGGAGACTCTCCCAAGTTGCTGTAATCAGATCAATATGTAATGTAAGTCTGCAAAAATAGCCATAAAAATCTTTTGAAGGAGAGGCTCAGACTATTGTGGATTGGTTGCAGATTTTAATTAAAAAATTCTCTGACAAAGGGAGTGCTAGTGACGTAGCAGTGTCAAAGGAAAATACTGCATGCAAGGGCATTAACAAAGAAAACCTTTGCATGAGTGGGGGCAGGGAGTGGCTTCCGAGTGTCTTTCCAAGTAGAAAAGACCCGAAGACCTGTGGTGAAAAGCAACTTAGTACCTCTCAAAATTTAACTCCTGTGATTGTGCACACTCCATGGCTACGATAAACAGTAGGAAGCAAAGTAAAAACAAAACACCTAAGTGACTTCAAAAGAAATATAACCATAAAAGCATATAAAATATAACCATATAAAAGCAGCCTTGGTTAAAATTAAGAAAATTATGAAAATGAGTTATATTTGTTTTTAGGACTAAAAAAAACAAACAACAAAAAAAAAACAAATGGCACAAAGCAGTTTAAGTTATTAACTCAACCACATTCTTCAGATCCAGCATCTTCTTCAGCCCTCAAATTAGCTAAAAGTGCAGAAGTTTCTTCCTTGCAACAATCCATAGACACTCTCCCCAGCAAGCTTCTGCAAGAACTATTCAACTTACAACTATTGGCCTCTCTTCTACACTCAGTGAGAAATCTTTTGAACAAGGGGACAGTATGAAAAATCACAGCAGTAGATTATCACAAATTCAAACTACACAGGATTAAAAAATATGTATCATCAACTATAGGTGGCCCAGACCTTAGATAACAGACTATTAACAAATATTTAGGCTTTTTAAAACTTTGACTATAGTTATCTATGTTACGGTAGTAGCTGGTTCCAAAGTAGTGTTAGAAACCTAATACAAATGTGGATTCTGCCCAACCACAAATCTATAGCCAGAAAACTCTTGCTCTGGCCAGAGGCAAGTGAATGTCAAAATATGGAATTCATATGAAGAATTTTTAAATTGCAAGTTCTAAAATGTCTAATGAAATAGGTTGTCAGGAAAGGCTAAACTAAAGCCTAATAGGAAAAAAATGGCTGGAACCATTAAATGTCTGTCTTTACGAGTATGAAACAAGTTTCATATATCTTTGATTTCTTTTTTTAAATCTTAAATGCACAATTCAGATTATGGGTAGAACTTCTTAGTTAAGTAAGCTTGCCCAGATTTCCTTTTATACATAGTAATTCTCCATAAAATTAAAAGCACTTAAAAAGAAGCCATAAATCCAGGAGCAAAGACAGCCATGGTATGTCTACCATGGGATATTTATCATATTTAACTTAATGATTTCTTTTGGGGCCACGGTCTGTATATCCTTAATAAAAGACTTTAGTTTACATAGCAAAGATGAAAATAAATCTTCAGAGTTGTTCTTTTTGTGAGAAAAATCTATTTCTTCCTATTTAATCATGTAATCCATAATTTCTAATAGCTCTTTCTACAATCAAAATCCAAAGAGCCAAAAAGGACTACCTTCACAAACATGAAAATCATGCTTCAACACAACTATTAAAGAAAGCTTCAGTGAAAGTAATTAAATGGGTTTTCCTTTATGAATTTCAAATTTAGAGAAATCTTGTGTGTAACTAAAGGGACAAAAATAACTAAATAGATAAGTAGTAGACTTACATTAAAATTTTGCAGTTGTTTAAGGATACAGGTGGATCTGATGCAACAATGAGAAGTACAAGTTGTCATGTCCAAAACGAGCTTTACAACGTCGGTGCGGGG